GTTTTTTTTTTGCTTTAACTCAATCCTCAATATTCAAGCCTGGATTTAAGTAAAGGTTCTCTGCAACAGCATTACAAGGAAGCTAGAGCTGAAGCCCCAACAGAAAGGTTCCAGTTGTGGGATTTGATATTCACTTGCAGTGACCCAGTTATTAGATTCATAAACACACAGACAGGCTTTCTCTTTGCATGAAGAAATTTCCACACAGTGAGTTCAAGACTGCCCCCTACTCTGCTATTTTCACTGTTAAAAAGGTCAGATATTTTAAAACACCTAAAGATCATAGTTAAAGTTATAGGGGGTAGTAATTACAGGGATTTACTGACAGAAATGTAATATATTATACTTAAGTATTGAATTTATTATCATCTATGAACTGAAAGTCAAAATATTTATGTTTGTGTTGCCTGAGAAAATGCGAAATTACAATTGCATAGAAACAGGTCTCAGGTTAATTCTAGAGGAAGACATATTTGCGCTATGGCAGCACAGACCTGACAAACTAGTGACTACACAAATCCCTTTTATGCTTGACTGTGACTGCGACAGACCTATATAAAATGTAAACCCTATACAGACTAGTAAAATACAGTTAGGAAAATTATCTATGTAAACAAATCATCACGTCATTTAAATCCAATATCAAATAGGTTTCTAGAATTTCCTTCCTTCATCAGCAAAATATTGTAAAAATAAGAAATCTCCTGTCCAGGGGTGATGCTCAGAAACTAGTCCATGCATTTGTTACTTCAAGGCTGGACTATTGTAAATCATTACTAGGACAACGGCTTCAGCTGATCCAAAATGCTGCAGCCAGAGTTCTGATGAAAATTAGAAAGAGAGATCATATCTCTCCTATCCTGGCTTCTCTTCAATGACTTCCTGTTATCCAGAATAGAATTTAAAATCTTCCTTCTCACATATAAATCCTTAAATGGCCAAGCTCCATCTGATATCAGAGATCTGATTGTTCCTTATGTTCCTAAAAGAGCTCTTCGCTCTCAATCTGCAGGTTTACTAGTGGTTCCTAGAGTTTCTGAAAGTAGAATGGGAGGCAGATCTTTTAGTTATCAGGCTCCTCTCCTGTGGAACCAACTACCAGTTTTCGTCCATGAGGCAGACACCCTGTCTACTTCTAAGAGTAGACTTAAAACGTTGCTTTTTGATAAAGCTTATAGTTAGAGTGGCTCAGGTTATCCTGATCTATCTCTATAGTTATGCTGCTATAGGCTTAGACTTCTGGAGGACATAGGGACCCCTATTTCCTCATTCTGCTTCATTCTATCACTACTCTTCCACTCTGCAGAATCTGTTAGTTCATTCTCTAACATTATGCTCTCTCTGATTTTTCTCATAGTAGCTTCGCCTCGTCTGTTCCTGTTTGGCTGTGACACCATCCTGGAGAGAAATATCTCTAATAAAAACATACCCTAAAGACAAACAGGTAACAAACAATGATCTGGCCTCGATAGCTGAAACTGAGCCCAATATAATGGAACAGTGGGTGGGTAGGATTGGTGATAATTGGAGACCGGAAAGAGTTAGGCAGGAGAGTGAAATAAACAATTAAGGTGAGCTATCAGGGAAGATTATGACAAATTCATAAATTTGTGAAGGGAAATTAATTAAATATTTGCCCTTTCTAATATTTTTCAGTGATACAGAAAAGCTGCACCATTCAAAGTGGGATGGATGCTGTCTCTCTAACTCCGGCCACTTCACCCCCAAAAGATTACCAATTATCACTGGAATCAACATTGTTTTGATGACACCACCTAGAACAGCCAGCGGGTGAACAATGCCATGTTGCCAAACGTGTCGTTGCTGGTCAGGTCTGGGAGGCGACTAGAGATAATTATAGAGTCCGACATTGTTCTATTATCAAAAGTTGAGAGAAGGACATAAGAAGCTGAAAAAACATTCTCTACAACCCCTAAAGAGTCAGGAGACCCACTCATGTGGCTCACACCAATTTGAATCAGCACCAAATGTCTCAGCTCATGGCTTGAAAAACTAAATTAATCCAAGATCCATTTCCCTTTCTTCATCAAAGGTTAGATCAATGATCTGTACTATTTTATAAATAAGACTACTGGTCCACCAGGCGAGTATAGTGTGTGCATAAAAAAACAGAATACTCAACCAGACATGGAGACCTTTTTGATCCAGATAGTCAGAGTAATCAGGGTGAGCTGGTGATTACAGTGATTTCTTTCTGAATTCTGAGTTGCTAGTAGCATTTCTGTTGAAAAGAATTCACATTGTTTTGTCTTTGAATATCTTCCTGTTCCTCAACTGTGCTCACCCCCGAATCTGCATTCAGCTTGCCTTCTTTCTTGCAGCGCCTTGCATTCCCAATTTCTCTCTTTCCCAGACACCCCATTCTCCCTCTTCAACAATCAAAAAGCAGCAACGCACCCTGAGACAGTAATTAAAGTGTCTAATCTTCAGATTGTTTTTTATTTCTCTGAAATGATCCTCTTCCCTTCTCATCCTTGTATTGGATCAGCCTAAAAGCTGGTATGGTAATTCGTCCTTGACTGCCCTGTTCCCAAAAGAATATGTGGCCTACATTTGTTTGCGGTGCAGTCTTAGCCTCTGTGAGCTAGTGTGTACACATATCAAACTCTTTTGTTTGCTGCTGCACAGCCCTTTGTCTTCCCTGTCACAGTTCTGTAGCAACATGCCATTATGGTTTTGTCTCTATGATTTATCATGCATTCAGGAATTCATTATTGACTTTTAGGTAAACTAACATGAACATTTAATCATTTTTACAGGGTAGTATTTGCAAATGGATGTGAAAAAGCATCCGTAACAGTATGCACATATAAAGATGAGAGTCCGCTTTAGCTTCATCACAACATCATTAAGAATAACAAATTGACCTGCAATTCACACTCTTCCTGTCAGAAGCAAGAAAATGCAAAAACAAAAAGTAATGGATGTGAAGCAAAGGAAAAGAAACCATTCACAAAACTGTAGCCTCTCAATATTGAATCATTAGTTAAAGAATCTTTTCACAGCCGTGTTTTTTCATCCCAAATGTACAAAAAATGTATTGATATTCTGCTAATTGCCATGAATAAAAATTTTTGCAATTATGGTATTTCCAAAACAAAAGAAATACAAGTAAAATTGCAAACAACATAGAAGTGGCGGACGTAAACATATCAGATAAATCTGTTTTCAGCCACATCTCAAACTAAATGTGAGAAATAGCCACTTTATGAATTCAAATATGCCTTGCCATCATCCTCCAACTAGTTTCAGTTTTCTTCCTTGTCATCGCCGGCCTACCGGCCTTCCTAGAGAAACTCTTCTTTGTCGCCGGTCTCTCGGCCTGCCTCTAGACACTGTGCTTCACCTTCAGCCTCATGTCCGGCCCACCAGAGACCGTGTTACATCCTTGATCACCTTTGGTGGGTTTTGTGTTTTGGACTCTGATTGTTTTTGATTTTTGTTACTTGCCCTCCTTCCTGGTCGGCCGTCAGCCGGCCCTGGGTGCATCGCTTTGTTTTTGCTTTGGACTTTTAGGCAAAAAAAAAACCCATTGTAAACTTGACAAGTACCCAGTAGAGAATTGCAGCTGTAGAAGATGTGTTTAAAAGTAGTTCTGGACAGTTAGGGTAACTATGAAATGTCACTGAAAAGAGAAACTAGCTCCACAGAACATGGGTTAGCAGTCAAACAAGGAAGTGACCGTGATATGCTGATGAAGATTCTCAGTCATCCAGGTCATAGTCATTCCGTAAAAGTTAAAAAAATATCCACTGGACTTGGTTTCCAAGATTTGAAGACATGTCGCCACCTCTCCAGGAGGTTTTCTCAATTCAAATGTCTGGATCCGCAGTGAGTTTGAGTCTTATATAGACAAGGCCTTGTATTGCTTGGAAACATGCAAATGGTAGCCGATGAGTGGGTCGTTTGGTTCCATTGTTAGCCTGTAATATCTGAAACCTGTCTATGATTCTGAAGGTCGGTCATTAAAGGGGGGGGTTTGTGTTTAGGGGGGGGATTGTCTCCTGTAATACCTGAAACCTGTCTATGATTGGTTTCTATGATTGACCGCGATATCTCTCACCAACAGCAGCACCCTCTAGAGGTCATTTAGTAAAAAACTAGGTTTGAATAACATCTAACATGAACAAGACATCTAGGTCAGTTTAGAGTCCTTTGAAAATGTGTAACTGAGGAATGATTAGATATATGAGAAAAGTGCTGAATGCATTTAGACAGTTCAATTTAGGAACAAGTTTGGTTGGTTCTTGCATGAGGCGCATTGACTTTACAGACAGAAAAGGAACATAGAAGCACTGATCTATAAATACATTTATATTAGAGTAAGAAGCAGTAAAGTACGTTCATAGGTGGTGTTTTCTGGAAAGGAGACAGTTTTGCCAGGCATAAATTGTGTGACATTTTCAATTATTGCACACACCTACAGCTCAAACTGTACAATGAAATTGCAGGGTTTAAAAGTTCACAGCTCACGATGTATGTTCTCACACTGTGCGGCCCGACGCTCTGATGTGACCTTACAATGGCCGACTGAATTTCAAACATGTTTGATTTTCTCCCGACCTTACGATTTCTGATCGAGAGGTGGTCTTGAGAGGCTAATCGCCCCTCGTTAATGCATCATGAGGCTGAAAGTCGGCCTGATCGAGAATTTCTTGCTCGACTGGAGAATCTGCCCAAAAAGGGCCAAAAAAAATCGTACAGTGTATTCCCGGCTTTAAGCAGCTTTATTTTACGGAGATGAGGGAGTTGATTCTAATCTGTCGTGTCAGCCAGTCTGCTTGAAGACCGGTAATACTTATCACTGTAGTTCTGGTACCGTGTCAACTCATTTATGGCTCAATCCCAATCTTAACACTCCCTATCTGAACAGGCTCAAGGTTCATGTCTGAGTTCAAAGCTTAGCCAGGTTTCTCCTTGGCATACTAATATTGCTGTTGACTTGCTGAAGAAGGCACATTTCCATCACTGTAAGGGAAATGGATGTGGAGAAGGGTAAAAATCGGTCCGGGGGCCTGAGCACCCTGGAAAAATGTCTGATATTTCTGTTTGTTTGCATGACAGTTGTTAGCATTTGCCTCATAACTCTCTACTTTGCTGAGAAGTCTGACTCGTCTGCTCATTCAGAAGGTGAGTATCCATCATCTGGTCATAGGTCTTCTGTTTTTGAAAGACAGCAAAGCATTTAGCCCTGAAAACAGTGAACCATGTTCATCAACAAACAGACAAAGAAGTTAAATATCCTAACGGTTTGGTTAAAAAATAGAAAAAGGAGAGCTGCTTATTGACAGACAGAAGTTGGAAGATTAAGTCATTCTTCTTTTTCCAATAATGATTTATTTATTTTATTTACTGTTTATTTTGTAATTAATTTTGCAGCAAAATGATACAAATGTAATTTTAACCTTAGACAAAATCATAATGCACATAACCCTCTCAGCAAAAGGGACGGATGCAAAGCATGTTGGAGATTTGGAGGAAATGCAAAAACAAAGGTGCTGGAAATTCTCTGAAAAGATTGCACAAAGGAATAAAAATAATATGACCAGTAGAAATATCAACAACTGTGGTTCTGACTGGGGAGGGGTACAATTTGTTTTGTTTTTGCTTTTCTCTCTTTCTGAGGATCTAAATCCAGCAGTTGGCTAATCAAAGTGTCTGTGTATATAAAGTACTCTCATATCTCCATGCTGGAGCAGCTTTATGCTTCAGCCTACCAAAAGAAGAAGATTCTTATGAATTAAAAGGTTTTTACACATTAATCAATGTTTAAAGATTGGATTATTATTCAAGCTCCTGTGAACTAACAAAAGAGATGAATTATTATCTGTTCCTTATCTGTCATATCAATTGACTGATCACCTTTCGCTCATAGATTAAAGGGCATCAGTCTAAGCATAGATTCACAGACTTCGTTCTTACCACACACCTCCTCCAGTTCTGCTGGGGGAAGCCAGAGGCACTGGAGGACCAACATAGAGACATAGCCCATCCATCCCTCCACTCAACGTATCCAACTCACCAAGGAGGGCTGATCAGTATCAGCCCTCATTGCGCTCCTACCTTAACGTGGTGAAAGGGTTTCAGTGCTCGGATGATGCCAGAGGCTATGTTGCTATGTTGTGGGGGCTTAAAGCCCCATGCGATGGTCATTGACTGCAGAAAGGCTCTGTGTGATAGGTCAGATAGGATGGGAGATGTAGAGTGATACTGGTTAGTAAACAGTCAGGCTCACCTCCAACCAACGCCATGTGATGTTTAAAAAAAAGTTGAAAAACCATCCACTGGATTTTGTTTCCAAATTTGAAGACGTTTCGCTTCCCATCAGAAAGCTTTTTCAATTCAAAATGTCAGAAATAGCGTTGAGTTCAAAGGTTTATAGAGTAGCCCAACAAAGAGCCTTGTTTTGGCTTAGAATGCAAATTGAACCTGAAGAATGGGTCCCCCCCCTCTAGGAATGGGAGATATTTGTTAGCCTGCAGTACCCGATACTGGTCTATGCCTCTGAAAGGGGGGTCGTCAGGGGCATTGTTGGCCTGGCTGACCAGGCGAGATGTTTTGGTCCACTGCATGGGGGTGGGGGTTGTGATGATAGCAGAAAGGAATCAAATCTATCGCTTTTGAGAGCTGAAACTTGCGAGAGGATGGAGCCCCTTCTACTTAGGGAGAGGCAGAGAGGAGGGCTGGGTATGCTTGTCTCACCACAGCTTACCCATCTCATGTTGAAATTCACCTTTTTTTATGAGGTAAGAGGGTTTCACTTCCCTGCATCTTTTGGACCTATGGCTTGAACAATGGTACAGATTGCCAGGCCCCATTTGATGGTGGTTCTGCTCATCCTTCTGCTCAAGGATTCTATCATTTTGCCGGGGATAATACCTACTTAAGGTAGGAAGGATCTGATTTGACCCCCAACTCTGGACCTTAGTGAGATTTCATTATTGGACTTCTTTGTAAGTCGTGGATTGTCCATAATGAATACCACCTTTAAGCACTGGCTCTAATAGGTGCAACTGGAACCAGGACACTCTAGATCAGGGGTGTCAAACTGGTTCCAGAAAGGGCCGTGTTGCTGCAGGTCTTCTTTCCAACCAAACAATAGCAAACCATACTCCAGTCATCTTATCAAGTCATCATGTTCAGATTGGACTCACTTGAGGAGATGACTGGAGTCAGGTGTGCTATTGCTTGGTTGGAAAGAAGACCTGCAGCCACACGGCCCTTTCTGGAACCCGTTGGACACCTGTGCTCTAGATGGTGATCAGTGATCAACCAATATATTAGTGACCGGACTCCTCCTTGTGTCCTAAAGATATTTTTTTTTACAAGTTTGGTTTGTTCTGGTCCAGACTCCCTGCTGGGGCCCTCAACCAGGCTGCTGCTGATGTGGATCACTGCTTATGATCATCCTATTCACAAGGAAGACTTACTTTTTCTATATTTATCTAGCTACTTTTTTGCATCTGCAAACATCAATCTTAATATTACCAACTCATCAGTGGATCTGTTGAGTTCAGCACTGTTTATGTTTAACATGCCTGTGTTTGTCCAAACTGTAGCTTTAGTTAAGCAGGCACATTTCAGGATCTGAAATGATCAAACAGGGATGTTATTGCAGGGAAGGAACAAAACATTTAACATCCGGCAAGAAATATTCAGTAAGAAACATTATGACCTCATCACCATACTTCCTGGGAACCAATAAAACTGCAGGGAGAAATGTGGCTCTTCTCAAAATGTACATTTTGCTGTCATGATTTCTGAAATGTTGTCTTTGGCTTTCAGGGCCTCTCTCAGGGTGTGGAGGTCCTCAGCAGATGAGCGGTGATTCGGGGACCTTTACCAGCTGGAACTATCCCAGCAGCTATGACAATGGCAAAAGCTGCACGTGGAGCATCACTGTAGATCCTGACAAGGTCAGAACACTTGTCCCAAAATACAGAGAAACTACAATATGGTCAAAGAAAAAAAGGACTTTGTATTAGAGTGCTAAAGTTTTGGGTCATCCCTCTTTTTAAAGGTGTGAATTATTTAGTTACCACCAATGTTACTCTGTAGGAGCCATTAGCTCAAAATGCTAACAACATGAATGTTTCAGGATCATTTTCTTATTTGATTTTTCTTGAGTTTTACATGTTTTATTACATTCCTCTGAAAAAAACATGTATTGGTAATTGTTTAAAAAAGAGAGGTTGGGTCTTTGTTAAGGATTGCATATTTGGTCTTTGTTCTTGTCTGTGGGAGTTAGAAAAGACTGAAGGAGAAAAAGACATTACACCGAAGTCTGCAGCCTATTGCTCTCAGAAACCAAAACGTCTGGAGAAGTATTTGATAAGTTTATTCAGCTGAGACACATCTAGGTGATGACTTCAAGTATATGTGTCAGAGTGCTCTGAGGAGCAGCACACGGGGGCAGTTGTCAGCACCATTACCTTGAAGCAAGATGATCCTGGTTTTAAATCCTAGCTAGGGCTCATTGTGCAAAGTTTGAAGGTTCTCTGAGTAAGATGGTGGCTTCATGTCTTGTTTGCTGTCAGAGCTGCACAAAGTGAATTTATCAGTACCAAGACTGTTGGTAGGGGATGACTCCAAACTATGCCAACATGCATGTATTAATCTACAGGAGTTCTATGTTGTTAGATCCTAAACTGAACTCCATTTAGTATGTAACTAATTTATTCAAGATGAGCCGTAGAAAGCCTTTGGTGGAGAGATACTTGATAGTTTATGGAGATTTCATGCCTGGCACAGATGTTCTCCATGGCTTAGGGTGGATAAAGGGAACAGTCGGCTATGTAGGGGCTGGAGGGACATCCAGATATTAGATACACTCTGCTATTATGTAACCTATCAATTATCATCCAAGTGTGTGCACAGCTTCTTGCAGGAGCTCAGCTAGTGTTTAATAAAAACTACTGCTGTCATTTCTGTGCTCTATATTGATTCTGTACTCACGTTGAAAGTTCAGGTTGTCGCTGTGATCTTAATTTTACTAGACCACCATGTGTCTGGGTTCTGATCAGCTGTTTTATGACTTTCTGTTATGAAAACGTTCTGCTGTGAAGCTAAACAGTAGAGGACAGCTGGTGCAAAGGCAGTGGTATCATCGTCAACAGATGGTTGCCTGGTTCTGCTCATATTCTGGCCCATCAGAATAAACAAACCCTTCATTCCCAGCTCTGCCAGCACTGCTCCTCACTCCCAGTAGTGGCTCAGCTCTTTTTCACTGCATTCTTCTGTATTTCTCTACCTACAAACGTAAATATTACCTTGAAAAATATATCTTTCCTCACACTTCACTGCAACCGCTGACAGTTCAGTCAGTAATTCATCCATTTTACTGGTTTATCTGATGCAGAGAAAAGAGGACGATGTAAGAACTTTGCATGTTTTTGCTGCAGGTGATTCATCTGTGGTTTGAGGAGTTTGCTTTGGAGGAGAAACAGCTCTGCACAGGAGATCTGGTCACACTGCGAGACTCACTGGGAACTATTGGTAGATATAACCTCCATTTATTACTGAGGTTGAGGGAATGGGTCGTTTTAAAAAAAAAATTAGGATGATTTTAATTGTGTTAATCCATTTATTGTGTATATCTTGTGCAATATTTTATATTATTGACTGTATGTTGTATAGGGTACTTAATACCCTTAATACCCTTAATAAAACGTATTAGTAGTTTTTCTTCTTTTGGATACTGTTAAACAGTAACCCTTCTGTGAATTCACTTTATGTTTTAGAAGAATTTCTAATGACTTAAATCCGAAGACCTTCCAATTTGGAAAGACCAACCTAACATCTCTAATATAAATCATTGGTTCCTCTTCTGTAAAAATCGCCTCAACAAATAAAAATAAATTCTTCCAAAACAGCTGCATTAAAGTGCAGCTGGTTTGGAAATAGTTTCTCCCCTCAGTCAGACTCAATTGACGACTGACATTCCAAACCTTTCCGGAATTTTCTGTGTTTTATCTGCAGGGAAGTACTGTGGCTACACTAAACCCAAACCTGTGGTGACCCTTTCAAACCACCTGATGGTCTACTTTGACACCAACGAAAGGAAAACAGACCAAGGATTTAAAGCACATTACAAAGCTGTCGCTCCAGAGGCTGCATCACGTAAGCTACATTTTTGCTTGTCAGTCTAACTCAGTTATCCTCCTTCCATTAGCCTCTCCTTTCTGGCCCTTTAGGATAAAAACATTCTGTTTCTCATGGATTTCAGTTGATTTTAATGTCTTGGCCATCCATACTTGTGTAAATGTTACTCATGCACCAGTGTGTAGTTTCAATATTAATAAAATAAACTCTCCATTACTAGATTAAATAATTTATCAGTTTATAAACACTGAACTAGACTAATATCAACAGCTTGTTGACTTATAAGACCACAAACCTTCTTCACATTTTATTCATAATTCTCCTCCACTCTTTCATCTGGCTCCTTATCCTAAAGAATTAACTTATATGAGTCTAATCAAATTAACAATATAACAATGAAAACAGTTAATTTAGGGGGGAGCGATAAAGACAATTTCAAGCATGCTGGTTCTTATATCGTTTGAAACTACATACAGTATTCATAGATTGAAACAGCATGTTTAGGTTAATTTGAGCATTTTATTCAGGAGAAGTCAGTGTTTGAAAAGCAAGTGAATTATAAAAAGGCATAAGTGAGAAGAACTATTGCCAGTGCAGTGTAACAGCCTGACTTTTGACTCAAAATCGAAATGTTTCATACATTTCTAACTTTTTTAGTTTATTATTTTAATTATTATTTGTATTTAGTTTTCACCAAAGGGCCGCATTCCTGAATGGTTTCTGCAAAGCTGCAGTCAGTGAGGTTTGTCATTGTATACAGTCTGATTTTAATCTTACAACTATTATGACTAATATAATTGAGGGTGGACAAAGAAGATTGCTTGGTGAAACACCAGGAATAAGCAACCTTTAATACACACAAAAAAAAACAATTTGACCCAATATTGATAGGAGAAAATGAAAAAACACAGGGAAATACAATTTTTTAACAGTCTATTTATTGTGTTTTTGTTTTGTTTTTACCTTTATGCCGTTTAAGCAACTGTGCTGTATTGATATTATCTGTTAAAAACAAAAAAGAAGATTTCAGCAGGACCAGCAGTTGCTGCTGCTGATCAGACTGAGCTGTATGGGGACTAAACACTTATGATCATGTATTTTCCCAACCCATGCGGAGCCGCAGCACGGGGATGCGAAAACTCACAAGCTGACTTGGCGAGCCACAGGTTGCTGAACCCTGCTAGCTGAGAGTAATGTCAGACTTGCAAGAGATTCTCAGTTACATGTTATGCTATGATTACACCGAACACGATTTAAGCAGCAGAAGGAAGCGGATCACATGCAGATTTATGGTTGAAGTGCATCAAAAGGTCTCGCAGCACATTTGAGCAGCAGGAGCAGCTGGCTTCAGCCCCTCCAAATCAGGCCTAAATACGTCTATGGCTTTTCATGTGTTTTAATAGAACTATTTATTCTCATTCAGGGAAAAGTAACTTATTATAGATCAAATAGTTGTTTTTCCTACTAAATATGAGGTCCAGATGTTATTTCAATCAATTGCATATTTTAAAATACTTTGTAATGCCACTTTTTGCCTGTAGCTCAGCGCTTATTTTCTCCTAAAAGATGCACAAAGTTGAAGCAAACATAGAACAGGGTCTTAGACCCACAACCATCAGGAATCAGGTTAAGGAGCTAGTGGGTTAAGGGGTTAGACCATTTCTCTCTGCCCAGTAGGGAATCACCAAAAAGTCAACTTAATTAAGCTGTCGCCTCACATCTGGACAACTTGAAACCAGCTGTGTGGTGCAGCTGCAAACCTGGTTTCTTGTTGGCTTATTCTAAGCGCTTCTGTTTTATTTTCCTATATTTTAATCATCTAAAGCACTTTGCATTGTCTTTGTACTGAATTGTGCTATACAAATAAATTTGCCTTGCCTTGCCTTGCCTAGTGTAGCACACTCTCTAATAAAAGCTGAATTAGACCTGCCTGATATAACCAAGTTCGTCGATGTAGCAACACGTACAGTATTTTTATCTTATTACTTTTATATAAATGGAGGCAGATGTTATAAGGTTTACTTCTTTCTGCTCCCTTTTATTAATGATTTTGTTTGTTAGATGAACGAGTTATGAATAAATGAGTTATGTTGTGTTTTACTGAATTAAATAAACTAAACTAAACAAGATACTTCAGAGGCATTCACTTCAGAGTTTTCATCATTCCCATCAGGGCTTTCACCATGGTGCTCAGAGGATGTAAAACGCTTTGGTCGAGTCTTCTGAGTACAGGCCATTCACCATCAATAGTGTCACCATCAGTGGTTTCTCTGGTTTCCCGGGTTTCTCTCGTTGCATGTTATTCTACTAGTTGTCCATCTTGTGCCTATTTATTTTGGTTTCTTATCAAAAGTCAACTATGCTTTGGACTACGTCTTTTTTTAACCACATCATGACAGAGATTCTACCTCCAAAAGACTCAGTCATAGTCTCATGTAAAAAAAAAAAAAGGGTGTGTTTCTGAAGAAAGTCCTGGTAGTTTTTATCAGCATGCTTACATATCAACCACTTAGCAAACAGATAACATCTAATGGTTATTGCAGAGATTTGTCAATCTCTTTTGTTGATCAGACAGTCGATATGGACATGTTACAGTGAGTAGCTCTTCTTTTGCCTAATCTTGGTGCAGCTCTCTCTTTTATGAAGCTCCTTGGCACGCAAAGATACAAACTATACATTTATTTATTTAAATTTACTGCAAAAGCATTCCATTGTTGAATAAGTTCAAATTCAACACAAGTTTTTTCCCCCAGAATATTCTATATATTCTAAGTTTCCTTGTTAGCCTATGGTGCTGTAATCAGAATCTATTGGGGGGAAATTATTTTCTTGCAGATAGAAAAATAAGATTGTAAGTAAAAAATAAGATATAAGAATAAAATAAGATAAGGGTAAGAATAAAATAACATAAGAATCACAGTATATACAATCAACAGTATTTACAATTTACAATGCTGCTCAGTAGTAAATTATAATTGTTGCACATGAACATGTTTTTGCACATAGTGAAGTAAAGAAACAAGTAATCAATGAAATGAAATGATTGATATTGATGATTCATATTTTAGAAGCTTTAGCACATATTCACCATGGTTCAAGGCAGAGTTTGGCATAAAAACAGTGGTCATTACAGCCAAATGTAAGGGGCGGGGGTGTTGGTCCTTGAGTTGTCAATGCAGCTGAAGTATCCTTCATTCCTGTTTCCAGAAATAGCTGGTGCTGGCGGTTTCCTCCAAGGTGATCAGGGGGATCTGATGACTGCAGGTTTCCCAGAACAAAGCTATCCAAACGGAGCACTCTACCAGGTACAATAACACTCTATAACATCCACGGTTGATGCACCCAGACACACCTAGCCTTTACCCGAATATGCTTACTCTAACTTAAACCTTAACTCAAACTATATTTGACTCCTAAGACTAACTGTTTGCAAAAAGGGAAGAGAGGATCAGCAAAATGTGCTCACCTTGGTGCAAACTGTCCTTACTTTAATGCAAAACAAATTACTCACACACACATGCAGAGGTTCATTTTGATGAATTTCCTCAGGATGTTCTCCAGTGCTGTTTATTGTGGTATATGTAGATCTCTGTGACAAAAGGGGAGTACATATTTAAATAAAATAAAAAGCAAACCATATAAAGGTCCAACAGATAAAAAATGTTTTATCAGTGACCGTAATCACAACCTTTCTCTAGTAGTCCGGTGAGTTAGGTTGAAAGTTGCTAAAAGTATTAAGGTATGATTGAGAGAAAATCAATTAAAACAATAAACTGAGTCAATGTTTATCATACTGACACTCAATGGAAAACCAATCGTTAAAAATATTGGAGTTATTTCTAAGTATCAAGTTGTCAGTGGAAATTAATGTCTTCATTAATGCCTTCATTAGGTTTCAGCATCCCTTCCCCTGACCAAGGTTACCCATAACGCATGAGTTGGAGGCATTGTGAGATCTTCAAGTGGTTCAGAAATTTCCTACTGAAGTGGGAAAGAAAATGTGGAGATTGAACTAATCTGCCTTCATACTTAATTTCTGATAAAAATCTCAAAAATCATTAAAAAAAATCAATTTTGAGTTGAAAATCTCACCCCGTACATTGGTCAAAGCCTATAACCCGCAATCCAGTGGCCTGGGAACAGGTCAGAACCACACTGACCAAATAATCCAAACAGGTTTGCCTTTACCCAGTTAGAAAGGTAAACTGTGAGTTAAAGAAACACTTAATTTCTGGTAAAGGATCTTAACAAAGACAGCAGGCTGAGGCACAGAGTATTAGATTCTCTGAGGTATAGAGATTAAAGCCTGAATCTGATCAAAGTAAGTCAGAACCAGTCAGGAAGCAGTCATCATCTTTCACACTGCAGGGCTGTAGCTTGACAGATCAACGTCTGTCCAAGCAGACATGGACTCTCTGAATGAATTATGTATGAGCTGCAGTATGTCGAAACGCAGCTCATGTTGTTGCCATGCCACCACAAGAAAACATGATTCTGTTAGCCAATTTCTACATGATTTATTCATCCAATGTTTAGAATAACTTTCTGCTCACCTCTGATTTCCAGCCTTTTAGTGTTTGATGAATTTGTGTTTCTGTTTTTGGGGAACAGTGGAGGATTACAGTGCCTGAAGGTGAGCGGGTCCGACTGACTTTTACCAGCTTCGACCTGGTCCCTGATGTCTGTGGAGACTTTGTTCAGATTTATGATGGCCATGAGGCTGGCTCTACTTTGCTCGGTAGGTTGGTGTACCACCTGCACAAATGTATGACAGATACTCATATAATGCTACATGGGGAGACCTTGTTCAATAATAACTGTTTATATAAAAGCTTAATGTGTGAGGGAATTAAATTCAGTTCAGTTTATCTCTATAGCTCCAATTTACAACATTAGTCATCTCTAGGTAACCTGACTCCGCCAGATGGATTTGCTCCGCATATCCATCTGGAAACCTTCAGTTGAAGTAATTTTGGGAAGGGGTTAGCTGATTGGCCTATGTTGGTGATAGACGGGCCAAATAAACCAATCAGATCAATGAAGCATATGACGTACTAACAGCCTGGCTACTCTTGCCGAAACCAGTCGGGAGAAGAGCAAAAACATCTTTTCCTCTGAGAAAAGCCTCCAGAGCAGTGTTTTGCTCTTCTTTCAGTGAAGAAATACTCTGTAATTCCGATAAAACTTGCTCGATAGCCACGCTAACGCTAGTTTCATCGGCTGAAGCCGCCATGTTCTTTAAACTGAACTGTCGCGCTTCTCTTTGCGTCCCACCTCAACCCGCCTCAAAGCCAACGCTGATTGGACGTTCGTTTGGTGAACGGCTCCAAATTTTCTTCAACGGAGAGTCTCCAGACTGATTAGCGAGTGAAATCTTGAAAGCTCGCGAGATCAGGATGGTCTCACGAGGCTAATCTCAAGGCACTTTGCAATTCAACCAGATGAGATTTCTTGTTAAGGAAAACCAGCTGATTGCATCGACTCATTGACTCTACAGCAATCCCTCACACCAAGCATACTTGTAGAGACAATGGAGAGGAAAAACTCTATTTTGACAGGCAGAAATCTCCGGCAGAACCAGGTTCAGTGTGAGCGGCCATCTGCCAAGGCAAAATGGGGGTCAAGGAGACAGAAGCAGAGATACAAAAAATAAGAAGAGATACTAAAGAGAGGGATTACTGTGAGAAAAATATTTTCAAACATGCATTACTAGGTGTGTGTATCCATTCATAAAATATGGTTTGGTTAACAGCTGTACAACAGTGCCAGCATCTTAATCCCAGTCAAATGAAAATTTCCTGCATTTTATCCTAAACTGAATAAAGGTCAAAACTAACCCCGAGTTTTGCTCTCAGGAACATTTTGTGGAGGCAGTGAGCCAAAGGCAGTGGAGTCCAGCCACAACACCATGGTGGTGCGCTTTAAATCTGATGGCAGCCTGACTTCTAAAGGGTTCCAAGCAACTTACACAAAGTCCAGCCTTCCTCCTGTTGTCATTCCAACCACAGCCCCGACCACCACCAGCACACAGACCACCCAACCTCCAACAACCTCTGGTGGGTTCCTTTGGTTTTATTTTATAGGCAGGGTTCTTGATAGAAATGTCATCTCCTTGAAGCCAGAGAGGAAAACGCTGAAAATAAGTGGACTGCCTCTGATAACACCCATTTGGGTTCATTGACTTTCTATCCATGGTGTAAAACTACAAACAAGCTACAATGAACAGTAAAAGGCAAGAATTGAGTTCAGAATGGATTTCTCCAAATCAACACTGGATCCAAATGATACTTCTTTAGTTTACATGTTGATGTTTAATATCTTAGAAATATGAATCTGTTGCTTTGTTCTGACAACACCATGGCTAAAAAGACGATTCTGATAAGGTCCTTCACCCCACCAATCTTTGGTTAAATGCTGTGCATACACATCCTCCAGCACAAGGCCTTTAAGATTCTGCCGGTTGGCTGTCCAACCTTTTCTCTATGGAGAACTGGTCAAAATATTTAAATTAACCTGTCCGCAAGCAAAACAACCCCATAATTTGGTAATAAGCCTAGTCCAGGAGATTCAGCCGGTTGTATGTGTTCAGGATCATTGTTCTGTCTGTAACTTGTACATAACATACGTTAAGAGTAAGTACTTATAAGTCTTGGTGTCTAGCTTATCCAAAACCTATGAGTAACTTGTGCATAACTTATTCGTAACTTATCAAGAACTTCTCTCCAACGCATATTAACGTATTTGACGTGTTCCAGACGAGCGCTGAATGTGTTTCTAACTTACAGTCACTGTTTAATGGCATATTGGCAGCATTTTGGTATAAAAGGGGAAAGCAGAAACGGTCAGTACTCCTCCACACTTTAGATGTTCTACAAGAGATGGAGGATGCAGCAAGGCTGAGATGAGAATACATACTAGCTGTCCTCCAACATCAGTATGATCTCATCAACTTGACTTTGTTCCAGGTGCAGGGTGAGCGAGAAGTCTAGTGTGATGGATCTTCTTGCGTTCACGACCACAGACATGACCAACAAACTTCCTATCAGACATGACGCTGAATTTTCACTGAACCTTTTTTCTTTCTTTTTATTTTTTTATTTTTTATTTTTTTCTTTTGGTGGACGGGAACCAGCAGCTAGGTTAACACCATCAAAGATGATCAAAGAAATCTTTTTATGCAGTTGGGGCGCCTCTGGACTCGTTATGAATATGCTATGTTTAATCCCAAAATTGAAAAAAATACATAAAAAGTTCGGTATATGCCAGCGTTTTAGGAGATTCTGGGATGTCAGGCATACGCTGGCTGAATCTGCAAGGTGCAACGGGGGCCCAAAGAGATCTGGATACTTTTCTCTCTTCATAATCACATCCATGTTATGAACTGCATTGGAAGCACTACATAAGCACTACATACATTCCCACAGGACAATGCACCACCTCCGTGCTTCCAGGAATTTTACACTTCAAGAAAAGCTGGAGTTGTTGGGTCGTACGCCACAAATTGGTGATTTTAGCAGAATTTAAAATCTGATTCTGATTATTATTAATAAGCTGCACTCTAATGATTCAGCTTTAAGCTTAATGATTTGATGCTGCCTTAAACATTTCTAAGTAAAACACTGCAGTGACCATATAAGTTGAGGCCTCTGCTGAGCGTGGTCTGTTTGTCGCCATGGCAGACAGACGGTTTTTCTCCAGGGGCCAATTAAATACTGTAAATCCCTCCATGCTGCAGGCATCGTTGAAACCAGTTTGCCTCAGCTGTGAATAGAAGTAAAAAATGATCCTAAATAAATAGAAAATGGAGGCAGAGGCTTTGATCGTGTTCTGTTTCTTTGCACTGCAGGTAGCGGAGGTCCTGTAATCATCGAAGGACGGAAAGGAACGATCCAGTCCACGGGTTTTCCAAATTCATACCCGGCTCATTCCAATAATTCCTGGAGGATTTCCGTGTCCAAAGAGTTCCTGGTTAAACTGCAGATCACTGACCTGGCGATCACAGGAGAGACCGGACAGTGCAAAGAGGACAAGCTGGTCATCTCAGATGACTACAGCATTCTGGGTGAAACATCATTCTACTCTTACCAACCTATCATTACCATTCATTTGTCTTAGATTGTATTTTCTTTGACTCATATTGGCAAAATTAACTTTTGCGGAGAATTTTACCCAAACGTTTTCCATATTTTGTAAAAAAAAATGGTTTGATATGGGAGAAGCCATACATACAGGGATGTCACTGTCAAATACACAGAGGACCAAAAAGACAAATTTAAATCTTTATTAAAACATACTGAAATGAACATAGACTATTGAACCAAGACCTAGCACATTGTTTAAAAAAAAATATATATATATATTAACTTCTTAATATCCACCTCATTTTGGCAAATTCTCAACTATTTTTTATACCCAAATGGAAAAGCAAAGTACTTAGGAACTGTAAGCCCAAATTACATGTGTGATACATTATTTGAACGCTAAAACCTTGTAGTTTCTGAATATATACATGAAAATTGGGTGAAAATAATAGGTCTTTTTTGAACAGCAGTTATAAAGACATGCTTGCTTGTTGTGGCTGCTTTGTCATGGTACATTTTGACATGCTGCTGTATCTGCGTTAATTGTACTTTGGTGCTCACTAAAATGAACTAGGTGGTTGAATTGTGGAGAATCTAAGCTTTCCAACAGTCTATATTGGATAATATTTTGCCAGTGTTATTTTCATTAATAAAATTAGTTATTATTTGTAACGGTTTTAAACCTTTGGCGGTTGCCCGTTTGGTTTTTGGGGGTTTATTTTCATATTATTATTAAACTTTTATTCTATTGATAAACTTATTAAGATAAATGTATAAATGAAAGTGCATGCATTATATACAGACTATGCATTACTATGCTGAGCCTACCGATCACTGGTTTCAAACAGTAAAATAAGAAAAAAATCAAATCAGCACCACTAACTGCGCTGTGCAGCTGCTGCGTGCAGCTGTCAGCAGTGGCTGATTGCAGCCAAAATAAAAAGAAGCCTGGATGGAAAGAGTGGGGAGCCGATCCTGCAGGTGACGTTGCATGCCGAAGAGTGGAACAGTGCTGGAGCACCGCAGAATCAGCAGTGGATCAGCAAGAGGGTGCGCTGTAGATGGATCGCTTCCAGAAGAAGCATAATAAGTGGAGCCTAACTTCTGGCCTCTAAATGGTGACTTTTAGGGACAATTATTGAACTTTGGACTTTTATAAAAGGTAAAGGGATTGTATTATCGTGCCACTATTACGGGGGCTTTCATTGAAATAGAACATCTTGGACTTGCTTGTTTTGCTGTTTGGGTTTTTGAGTTGCTTGCTCCCTCTTGTCAAAGAGTGAGTTTGGGGCCGTATTAGACAACCGACTTCAGCCCAGTGTGCTTGGATTGTTAAAGGGGAGAAAAGCAAAAACAAAACAATCCAAACATGCAAAGTACAACAAGTATGACCTCTGCCCTGACTGTGCTGTCTATTCACCTCCTGGTATTCTGTGCCTGGCGTGCGGATCCCACTTTCCCCTCGCTCAGCAGCATGTCCGTCTCTGTCACCCGCAGGATCAGCTCTGCCCCTCACTCCATCCAGGCTCCTTTTTTTTGGCTTCAATCAGCCTCTGCTGACACCTGCGCGCAGTAGTTGTGGAGCGCAGTTAGTGTACTCCGCCTCCTTAGACAACCGACTTTAGCCCAGCTTGGTTGGTAAATGGGGAAAAGCAAAAGCCAAAACAATCCAAACATGCAAAGCACCACAAAAAATTTAAATACAAAAAAAACACATTCATGTTTTCCCCTGGGAATGTAGTGTTGGTGCGTGCAACGCAACCGCACCAACACTACATTCCCCACAATGCAACAGCAGTCCGCAAAGTCACAGCAGTGCACACAAGCAGCCGTGGCCTGTGGGCCGGTTCTAATGGTAATTAAATATCATCCAGGGGGCCATGGATAAATAATTTGCGGGCTGGAATCCATCCCCCGGGCCTTGATTTTGTCATATGTGCCATGGTACCTCTTAATTTGGCATCTTTTTCTAAACCTTCTGTTAGGACTTAATGTTTAAATTGCCTCTGCTGTTAAACTCTTTGCAAGTAAAGATCTTACTTGCAAAGAGGCCCACTGTTATAAATTACCTCACATGATTCACTTCTTTGACTGCAGTGATGCTGATACAGCTTTATCTCTCGCTCAGTATTCAAGGGCCGGGCACACGCTCACTGCACTTCCACTGTGTTCTTAGAGCACTGGGAGCAGGTGCTTATGTGGCAGAGTAACAATGAGACACACTCAAATGAAGCATTTCCCCCACTGGTTTCTGCCAGCAGTGATAAAGTTTTTGTGTGAAATGTTATATTTGATCTTTAAATCCAATTTAAATCTAAACCTTTAAAGTATTCCGCTTGTATTGCATCTTGAAACCCTGGTTTGCTTCTGAGCTCATGCACAGTAAGGCAGTTTTTTTTTAATGGAAGAAATTATATTGTTCATTAATATAAGAAATAAAAAAAGACGTATTGGTAATGGAGTGAGACTGCATGGCCGCTGAGGAGGAGCTGACCATGTCAGAATGCACAGAATGTGTTGTGCTTTTTTTGTTTTTTGCTGCGGCAAGCTGGGTTGCCGCAGCAAAAAAACAGACAATAAAACTATTTATCCTAATCAGTAGATTCTGCAACCACAGCATCTATCTTTATCTTTTATCTTTAGTCGTATTTAAAGCTTTACCTGCTTACAGTTGCAAGTATTATCTGTTCAGAGGACCTTTGATCCACCGTTTGAACCTGCCTGTTGTGGCTCCTCAGGTACACACTGTGGCTTCATCCTCCCTCCACCAGTGGTCAGCGCCCGTAACACCATCTCTGTCACCTTCCAGTCTGACAGTCGGCTCACAGACCGAGGATTCTCTGCAGAGTGGGAGGCGGTGTATCCTGAGGATATAGCAGGTACACCTTCACAGGTCTGGGCGCGAGCCATCGAAGAGCCTCGGTGCCTCGCTAACCAATCAAAACACATCTCACTGTCACATACTGAGCTCCTGCAGCAGTGGGGAAAATTGGGTCAGACATACCACTGAAGCTGTTCTTTTATCACATTGATTATCATCCAGAGAGACCTAAACCATTTATGAACTGGGAGACAAGGCTGCAGGGGGGGTCTAGCTCTGCGGCTATGAGTTGAACTGGCTTAGGATGAATCTAGGAAGGCTGACTGGGATAGAGAGCTGAGGTTTGTCAGGACAGTGGAGGGTTCTGGCAGAGCAGGAGCGGCGATGAGAGATCCTGTGGGACTTGCAGGAGGAGCAAACCTAAGGCAGAGAGGCAGGCATCAGGCAGATGGGTTTTTCGACAACCAGAGGTTAGCAAACATCCTTTGGAAAACCAGACAGTCAGGAACTGTGGACAAGACTAGAGGGTCAGGATAGGACTGGTCTGGACTGAATGGACATCCGAAGCAGCACTAAGCTTCCTGCCTCCTGAGGGAACCTGTTCCTTTTTTAATCCTGCAGAGGTCCTCCTTACTCAGCACCAACCGTATCCAATCAGCACCACAGCCACACATACACACACATTCAGCAGCACAGAACCAAAACTAACTCACCTCTATAATCCCATTATTTATGTCAATATCTTTTATCTGCATTTCTCTGCTTACCTAAACCTTTTTCTTGGGCAAAACTGTTACTTTTAGATAATAAGATAAAGGTTTCCTACTCAGGTAGTCATAAAAATCTATTTTTCAAGCATGACTCGTCTCAGTTTTTGTGACAATGCAACTCTTTGGTGCAATGTCAGACATTTGCATTTGCAAACACAGAGTACATTTGAGATTAAATAATACTACTTCGGCAATAGTATCTAGGTGTTACTTTATTGTATGACTCCTACCATGTCCGTTGGTTGTGCTGTTCTTTTTACATCTCTTTTCAGGTGATGAAGCAGACTGAAAATGTTTTATCATTATCTCCCTTTTATCTCCTCTTTCTTTCATCTTTTCTCCTTTTTTTTCTGTTTTCCTCTTCTGTTCTACTTACATTGCAGTGTCCATATAATATGTAAAATTTCCTGCATAATTATAATAAAGCAATTTATATGCATGAAACAAGCGGAACACTATGGCAATAGCCCTGCTGCTCCACTTGTGAAAGTAAAATCTGTTAGGCTCTTTTTGGCATCAAGACAGTTATTCTTTTTGCCACATTGCCAAAAAAAAAAAGGAAGACTTTTGCATCGCATACAGTTTGATAACAAAAAAAAAATCCTCTGTCTTAGTCTGTTTGCTTCAAAAGTTCCTTTACAAGATATTCATTATTTAAATTTTTTCTAAATTATTTTATCAGACCAAATTAGACTGAAGTACTATCATGATTGAGTCATTGGACTTAATATCTTAATTCGACACTTGAGTTTTCCTGCATGTGTCAGAACCACTGATCTCTATTTATTCATCGGATAGCTGATACACTGAAATAAACTGAAGTCACCTGCCGCTATCTTGGTACACCCCACTTTCCAGTGTTGTGTCATAAAAATGCTTGTAATGTAATGTAATTTCCATAAGAAGGTAATCATTACATGTAATTTAGTACTTTTGGCACATCATCAGAGTGTGTGTGTGTGTGTTTGTGTGCATGTGTAATATTCTTCATATCTGACTACAGTTTTATTATGCCCATTAAGACACTCATTTTAATGTGATGAATTTGTATAATATCTTATATTACGCGATTTATAGGCTTCATAGACTTCATACTCAATACACAATGAGATGTGCCTATTTTTTTATGATAAATTACAGTAAGCTACTTATGCTATGAAACAGCATGTGTGTCAAAGTTATCTTTGTTTTAAAAGTCTTAAGCCCTCCTGAAAATGACGACATCATCGTTGTTTGATGCTGTAGCATACATATGGTTTTCATCCCAAACGGTCTCACTAGGGAGTACCAATTTGGCGGCTGGTGGCTTCACAGCAAGTGAGTAAATAGAGATCAGAGGTCAGAAAATCCATCTCATTGTGTCTTTCCTTCCTATTACAGAGATCCTGGGATGTGGCTTTACTTCTAAAGAGGAAACTGGTGTAATTAAGTCCCAGAACTGGCCAAAGAACTACAAGGCTAACACGGAGTGCATGTGGACCATCACTGTGCCACTGGGGAAAAAAATCACGCTGACGTTCACTCATTTTGACCTGGAACCCAAAGATCTTCTCTCCTCTAAATGCTACGACAACGTGATGCTGTATGACCTCAGTGGTTTGACTAATGCACTTAACCAAAAACATGGCAAGTTTCATGACAATTACTCTTCCCAACTATTTCCCACCACGATTATCACATCTATTTTAGAGTCTTACCCTTTAGGAGTCAATATATACATTCTAGATAAAAGGACCTCTGTGCTTGTTTTTACAATGGATTAGTTGTTTTCCTGTCCTCCAGGACCTTTATGTGGAACAACTTTGCCCAGCACCATCCAGACGAAAGGCAACAAGCTTCTGATCCGTTTCCATGCAGACATATTAACTGAGGCTAAAGGTTTCAGAGCTTACTGGACTACAAATCCCAGCTTGCCGGCACCAACTGAGCCACCTGCTGAGCCGAACCCCTGGGACAGCATCACCATAGGTAGAGTATCTGGGGTTTTTTCAGAACAAAGAGGGGAAATAAAGCTGCATTGATCTGTAATATGGTAAAATCATAATCTTAACTGGTCAGTCATAGTGTAGAAGCAGGGATTTATAGATTTGCTTTTTAGAGTTTGGACAGTTTTGGGTACAGAACATTTCTTTAGCATATAAACTTAAAGCAATCATTGATGATTAAACTACAGACAAAACATCTAACCATTAATCAAATATTTGCTGCTTTCTGGAGCTGTTCATAAATGAATGCGCCAAAGGGGTCCTGTATGGGTGCTTGGTGTAAATTGATGATAAAGATTCTGTGAGCCTGCTGCTCTCAGGAGATTAAACGTATCAGATTCACTTTCTGCTTTCTGAATTTACTAAACACTATTCTGGCACCGCCAGGTTCCCATGTGGAACCTTACCATCTAGAACATTTTAGAACCAACAGGCCATTTGGCACACAATTTAAATGTTTTCATAAACCTCAGCAAAATTAGTACAGGAGATCCTTTTTAGTAAACCAATCACCCTCTAACTATTAATTCTACTTGCCCAGGTATGGCACAGATCAAGAAAATCAAACATCCTAAACTTGTTGATGAATTTGCTCCTTTATGACCAGCTGTATCATCAACGGCTTCACTCCAGCAAGTCTGGAGTCTACATGTATATCTGTCTTTGAGAAACTCGGAGTCAGTCCAGTACAGCCCAGATGATATTGTAGAATCTAAACTTTTGGCCACTTTTATGGAGCTTGGAGCTTTTATGGGATGCATTCACAATGATCGCGGCTCAGTGGGGGGTATTCCTGCAGCTAACAGGACAGGCTCATATGAGTCAGAACCATTCCAGCAGAGGAGTACACCGGACGCAGACATTGGGCCAGGACAAAACCGGTGCTATTTTGGTTCTTTTGCAGATTTAAAACTCCTCAGCCGTTGTATAAACGGGTGGTACCAGCAAGGTTGTGCTTGGTTTCAACTCAGAGCTTCTTCAAAATGAGTTCCATTATTTTTCGCCATTGAAAACAGACCATGGTTCCGTAGATTACACCACATGGAAGGTAGTGTCCAGCTGGGATGTTGGGTTCTTTTCTTGCATCAAACTGGGGTCCAGGGCAAAAACAGGGTTTTCTGGTGATTTTAAAGTTGCTATGGCTTGAAGATGTGATGTAAGAGGGACACACTGCATCAAAACATATTTGTTTAGTGATGCTCTGACGTTGAGGGTTGTAGTTCTAATCCGGGAAGTTGTAGTTCAAGTGGGAGGGTTTCTCTGTATAACTGATCCAATTTTAAAAGCTGAAGCAGATCTTGTGGATTCTGTGACCACAGTGGGTAATGACATAATGCCTGTACTTCTTCCTTTGCAGGATGTCTCTTTCTTTCCATCCTTCATCCGGAGATGAGCCCCAGGTGGCTGCAGATTCTAGCAGAACAATTTTCTTAAATAGAGTTTGATGGATGGACAGTGCTGTTTTCAAGGCCTTATTTTATTGCCAAGCTGAGAAAATTACATTATCAGCAGGGTTTCAGAGGGGAACAGGAAAATAAAATGTGCAACACGGAGCTTCATCTTTAACACAAAGATTTTTGCTCTTCATTTTGACCCATCTGTTGTAGACTGGCCCGAAACATGTGGGAAACCAGCCATCCCTCCTGCTGTCGCATCACGCATCGTGAATGGAGAAGAAGCCGTTGCACACTCCTGGCCTTGGCAGGTCTCCATGCAGGTGGGAACGTTCTCTAAAAGGTTCAAAAATATACCTCAACGTTTCACTGAGAATGTTCTGATTTCAGCGCCCTGCTTGTTTCAGGTCTGGCCTTCCAGTCAGTCTGAACCTTCATTTTTTCACACCTGTGGTGGGACTCTCATTCATAAAAACTGGGTGCTAACAGCAGCACACTGCTTCATAAGGTAAATAACTGAAGAATCCAAGTTCCAGTTTTTCTCCTAAATTCATGCCTTTACACTTAATAATTGAAAGTGAAGTTAAGATTGTTTAAAACACCTTTATCTTGTCTTATCAATGTTGATCAAGAGCAGTTTGGTAAAGAGCCATCTGTCATTCTTCATGGTGACATCAGGTGACAGCATCATGCTGCAGGGATGTTTTTGTCCAGTGGGGACATGGCAGCTGCTGAAGACAGCTTTAGATTTGAAATGTTTTTGATTCACTCTGCTATTATGCAGAGCTTCACAGTTCAAGTTGAATAAATTACCATAAAGTGTCGGAAGTAGAAATGTGACACCATGTAAAAATGAGGAGTGAAACCTTTCTCACGTTTGGTGCCTTTAGAATACAAAGTCTGACTCTTTAAGCATTTATTCACCCAGGTATGCAGATGAGCTGCATCGCTGGCGTATGTGCCTCGGGAAACACAACCTGACCACCACAGAGGTGACCGAACGCTGCATCAACATCTCTGGCATTCATCGCCATGAGGCCTTCCAGTACCCCACAGTGCCCACTGTGGAGTTTGACATTGCTCTGGTGAGGCTGGCTGAAGATGCTGTCGCCTCAGATGAGATTTCCTTCGCCTGCCTTCCCTCTGAGGAGGAGACCCTTCCTGCAGGAAAGAAGTGCTACGCTACAGGCTGGGGGGACGAAACAGGTGCCAGTTTTACTTCATGGTCACCATCAGCCTGAGCGACTCCTTAAAATCTTAAAGCTGTGTGTTACACTGCAGCTTGGTCTTTGTTGGTGATACTTGTGTGCCACCTGCTGGACAGAAAGGGAAATAATCTTGCTGCCAACCTAAATGCTGTTATTGTGACTGTTTTAATCCTTCATTTGTTTGATCAGGAGATTCAGTAAATCCGAAAGCTTCTGAGACCCTCAACCAGGTGGCCCTACCTGTTGTCCCTTATGACACCTGCAAACGGATGGATTACTGGTGGTTCCAGGTGAAGACCTCCATGATCTGCTGTGGGTACACACTGCCTGATGAGCTGAAGTCTGTCTGTCAGGTAAATCAAGTCCCTAAAGAGGCAACAGAACCACATTCTCTGAGGAATGTGCCTAATTCTGTGTTTGCAACTCTTAAAGGGAGACTCAGGTGGTCCACTAGTTTGCCAGGACACCCCTGGTGGTTCCTGGGAGATTCACGGTATAACCAGCTTCGGTCCCATTGGATGCATAATGGACAAAAAGCCCTCCGTGTTCACCCGTGCCTCAGCCTACCTTCCATGGATCTCAAATGTCATTCGCAGGGACATCTACATTGAGCACAGTAGGATCCCATCAGCTCAGATTAACCCACTCATTGGGTCGCTATGCTTCTTACTCACCTTCTGGCTTCTCCATTCAGCATCAGGTTGTGGAGGACCAAAGGATCTGTCTGGTACAGGCGGCATCATAACCTCCATGAATTATCCCAACACCTACAGCAATAACGCCCGCTGTGAGTGGAACATTGAAGTGCCTGTAGGGAAACTTGTGCACCTCCACTTCAGCGGTTTCTCCCTGGAGGACAGCCAACTGTGCCTGAATGACAAAGTCAAACTCACTGATAACGTAGGAAGTCTGGGTGAGTAAATGTCTGCCACAGTGCAATATTTTAAGCAAAAACATATCAATCAAGTGCTAAACATTGACATACCTTTCGAAAAACAAAGGATATATAAGATGAACAATATATCTTTAGAAGAAATTCTATAATAATGACGCAATAAGTAAAAAACTAAATAGTAAGTAGTAGTAGTCCTGATTCAAGTATATAAAAAATGGCTGTTCCCTGTTCCACCAAAACTTAATAGTCTACATACAGGCTAAAATATCACAAACACTCTCACTTTCTGTAGCCATCAACCAGTTTTGAACATAGTTATTGCTGAATCTATGTCTTCTGAGAAATGTCAATCGAACTGGATGGTTTCTGTTCGCTGACTGGAACAAATTCCAGCAACCCTAAGGTTCAGGTCGTTATTTTGGGTTAATGTTGGCCATCTTTATTCCTTCTAAAACCTTTAGAAGAGTTTTCACTCCTTTGTTTTGTTGGTTAACCCAGTTATGTATCTTTATTTAGATGTTTATATGAGGTCAATCCTATTAATTTGGAAGCAGACCTCCTTCTAGGACCCCAGTGTATACATGCTTCCTCCACCATGGTCATTATGGATTCCTTACACCTAGAAGCCTATGTTTTCATCCCCTAAACAGGCATCTTGTTAAAGGTCAGCCACAGTCTCTTGACCACTAAGCCTTTCTCCAGATGCTCTTTTGAGAGCGTCCTTGAGGTTTGGACGTTAAAACAAGAGAATGTTTCTTAGTGACGCTTTTTTTCTCAAGGCAACGTAGCTAATATTCCTGCATCATCTAATTGATGATAGGCCCGAGCCTGACATTTGTTGGTTTCTGGGATGATTATGAACATCCTGACTGATGAAACTTTGACACAAACAGTTGGTCCAACGCAACAATTGTAACCTGAGAGCCTCATCAGAAATGGTTTTATTTTGGTAAGGTGGACTTTAAGTTACACATGGGCAATGCCACATCTAGTGGTAATGTCGAGCTCAGGGCTTTGGAAGGACATTCATGAAATATGCAGCCGTGTTCAGGTCTCTAGCTGTTCATTACACAGGTAGCTAAAATGTAATTTCTGTCCTTCCACCCTGACAGCAAAACAGCCCCAAAACATAATGACACCACCCCAATGCTTGATAGGCAGTGCAGTCCTCTCCATGAGCTCTCCTAACATCATTATAGCCAATAAGCTAAAGCTTTGAGTTAATCTGTTCTTCCCTGTTTTAAAACATTAAATCTGAGAAGTGGATCCAACCATTCTTTGTGATGCCTTGAAGGCAAGTTGTTAGATGTCAGTTTATAGCACATACAATATTTATAAAAAAAAAAAAAAAAAAACTGGAACAGTTTCACATATTAAATTAATAATTAAAAAAGTAAAAAGACAACGTCAGAATAAGAACAATCCAGAGACATTTGCTTCTCAGAGGTTTGTCAGGCAGATATATTACGAAGTATTACAAGGCAATACTATAGGCGCAACCAGAGGCAGCAGATGAGGAGAGTTTAAAAACACTAATGGAACACCTGGCCCTTCCTTTAATTTACATCAAAACAGAGTATTAACTTTGCCCTACAGAGAAAGAGATGAGGGATGCAACTCCAGGTTGTGATGGGTTTCCATTTAAATGCTATCATATAGGAAGGCTAGTATAGTATTTGGAGGCTACAAGCTTCTACCACCTGGTAAGAAAATGTGGTGCAGCGCTGAAGCAGGGGTTAAACGCACATTCCATGTACAGAGGCTGTGGTCCTCGATGCAGCCGTGACAGGCTCGAGTTGTTGAACTTTGCTGCATGTCTTCCCCTTCTAATACCAGTTCCTGTCTAGCTAATTTCAAATATTTATAAAATAAAGGCCAGTAGAGCCTAAAAATAATCTTAAGAAAGTGCCCAGATTTTAGGTGGGAAAATATAATTAGATTTTTTTATAATCCCAAAAACAGAGGGGAGATGGAAAATAAAAAGAACTTTATTCATCTCACAATGGAAAAATTAACTCTACCCTTGGGGAGCAGTGTGACTTTAAGGGTCTTGCTCAGACAGCAAGAGTGGCGGCTGTGAGGATCGAACCAGGTATTTGCAACCTTCTCACGGCACAAGCGCACTGCTCTAACCGCTGACTAACATTCCCCCAATGTGCACCAGAAGAGAACAACATATAAGGGGTACTGTATGCGGAAATAAGGCGTGGGACAATACACACATATGTTGGTGATGCCCAAATCTTAGGAAATATTGGGAAGGAGCATGGGAAGTATTACTGGAGGTTCTAGGCTATGGGGAATCTTGCAGAGGGAAACATCCGTACAGTATTTCATAAAATCTCTGCTAGCAGCTGCAGAAAAGTAAAGCAAGGCAGTGGCTCAAAGAGGACCTAGCATCAAGGAGCAATGTCTGAGAATAGCAGAGGAAGTTCCACAAGAACAAATCTACATATCTATCATGGGTACAGGAAGGGAAGTTTGATTTTAACTGGCATAAATGGATTGAATATTTAAATGGGGGGTGTGACACCACAGACTAGCTTAAAACGAAGACTAACCTGAGATCAGGGTAATTTACATCTCTGAGAGGATCTCCCATGCCACTCTGTTGACTTGTGTTTTATTTTCTAAGTTATATTATTTTTTTTCTATCATTTTTTCACAACTGTAATGATGTAGTTTTTTCTTGTGAAGCTGTTTTACTTAATAAACCCAGTGCAGAACATTTCCTCGTGTTTCCAACAGGCACCTTGTGCAGCCCTGTTCCACCTCAAGATCTGGTGACTGATGGAAATAGGCTCCATATCAGCTTCTCTTCTAATGACAAGGTGGTGGACACAGGCTTTACTGTGAGCTGGACGGGGGTGGACCCTTCAAAAGGTAAGAGATTATATCAAGAAGATGGAAGGACCTCCCAACAGAACAACTGTTTCCGTCTCACAGTTCTGTTTTGTCTCATTCTATTGTAGCTCCATGTGGAGGACATTTTAGCAGCAAGCAGGGTGAAATAACCTCTCCAAACTGGCCTGGTGACTACCTCGCACAGAGTGTGTGCACATGGCGAATCAGTGTCCCCTCAGCTGAGAAGATCCATGTAGTCTTTACTGACTTTGAGCTGCAAGCCATGAACCTTTTGGGAAACTGTGTGGATTACGTAGAGATATTCAACGGAGAAACAATGGCCTCGCTTGGTTTGTTGCCATCATCCCAATTCCTCTCTTGTTCAGTTGATACTTCCAAGCCAGCAGGGTATACCGAGCTTTATCTGTCCTTCAGGTCGGTTCTGTGGCTTCGCTCCACCACCCACCATCACCGTCCCTGTCAACACGGTGGTTATCCGCTTTCTGAGTAATGATGCTAATCAGCAGAAAGGTTTTCGTGGTTACTGGACCACTGATGCTAGTGTGTTTCCAACTTTACCTCCTCCTTCTCCAAACCCATGGGACAACATCACCATCAGTGAGTTGAGACCAAAAACAAAATATACTGAAGTTGCCTACTGACGTGACTTAAACTTTCTATGACAAGGTTTACAGTTTGTTGGTGACATACATCAGACCTTTCTCAGTCTTGGATAGAGTAGAAATTTTCCTAACAATCTTCCTGCTCTCAGACTGGCCAGAAGATTGTGGAAATCCAGCAGTAAAGCCAGAAACAGCCACTCCTCGGGTTGTTAACGGGGAGGAGGCAAAACCCCACTCCTGGCCTTGGCAAGTCTCCATGCAGGTACACAACCATCTTTTTTATCTGCCTTCCTAGTTCCTCAAACACCTGGAAAAAGTTAAGTAAAGTCTGGCAATAGGAGGGATATCTTCTCGGCTGTCTTTGTTCAATAACCTTCCTTCCACCCTCAGTGTAAGTGGGCTTTTATAGATGCTGACTGAGGGCTCAAGGAAATAGAATCAGAAATACAAAGGAACATAGAAGCACTGATCCAGTTCAAATCAGTTTATTTATACAGCCCAATTCACAGCATATTTTCTCTCAATGCACCTTGCAAAGAGAATACACATAATAAATGCAGTATCAATAAATACTTTATAAGTTAGAAGGGATAACGGTAAATTAGCTCCATAGATGGCTCCATATGGGAAAGAAACAGGTAATCAGAGGAGCTCTCTGAGACAGTTTTTAAAAGGATGAAATAGAGGACATCCAGTTAGTCACATTTAAAGCTGGGCCCTTAGCTATATCCAGAAGAAAAACAGGACTAAAAAGTGAAAAACAGACCAAGCTTCAACATCTACAAACAAGGCTGGCAGCAGCACAGATGATATATATATTCCAGGATGAAGTCACAGCGAAACAGAAAGCGAACAGATGAAGCTATAATGATGAGAAAGGCAGAGAGCGCATTAAGTTAGACATTTAACTAAAAAATACTGCAGAGTGGGAGAATAAAGACTGAATGAAGCAGAATGATTAAAAGTGGTCCCTATGTCCTCCAGCAGTCTGAGCCTATAGCAACATAACTATAAAGATAGCTCTGGAAAACCTAAGCCACTCTAACCAAAAGCTTTATAAAAACAAGAAAACTTTTAAGGCAGGGCTGCACAGTGCTGCACTGTTGCCTTGCAACAAGGAGGTTCTGGGTTCGATTCATGACCCGGTGTCTTTCTGCTTGGAGTTTGCATGTTCTCTCTGTGCATCCAGGTCCTCCGGCTTCCTACCACACTCCAAAAACATGACTGTTAGCTTACGTGGCTTTTCTACATTGTCGTTAGGGGTCAGTGTGTGTGCCGTGTGTGTCTTTATGTTCCTCTGTGTTGCCCTGCGACAGACTGGTGACCCGTCCAGTTTTGTACCCTAGCCTTAAAAGTAGACAGGGTGACTGCCTCATGATAGCTGGTTCCACAGGAGAGAAGCCTGATAATTAAAATATATGCCTCCCATTGTACTTTTAGAAATTCTAGGAATCACTAGTAAAAATGCAGATTTACAGTGAAGCTATCTTGGGACATAAGTAACAATCAGATCTCTAATATCAGAAAGAGCTTGATTATTTACAGTAGGGCTTTATGTGAGAAGGAGCAGAAGGAACAGATTAGATGAATAAACAGACCTTATTCTTGATTTAAAAGGAAGCCAATGAAGCCAATGATGACCTTTAATCACCATATATAGACTGTATATCTTTAGAAGCATTTTGAATATTTCCTAAAAGTTACTAAACTTATAGCTATGTTGCCCGAAAAAGAAGAGAATTAACTTGCACTTAAAGCAGATTTAATACTTAAGAAAAACATTTTTTTTTCACTCTTTTTTTCAGAACTTGCCTTAAAATAATTGCTGCTGTGGGGCTTTAATTCCACAAGTTTATATTTCAGTGAAGAGTTCTTATGAAATATTCTGATTTTAAACACTATTTATTTTTTTATGCAGGCTTCACCCTTCCCTCCATTTCTTTACATGCACGGCTGTGGGGGCTCTCTGATTCATGAAGAGTGGGTTCTTACTGCTGCTCACTGTTTTATGTTGTAAGTACATCACCTTGAATCCATAACCTGGTTGGAATGAAGGTTGTATTATTAAATCTTGGCTTTAGTAGTTCCCTCGCAACAATGTGGTAACAACTGTTGGTGGTAAACTGTTTACTTACCCTGTCCTCTAATTGGTGCTTATCACCCTTCTCTGTAGCCCCCTGAACACAACATCCTTCTGGCGTATGTGTTTGGGAAAACACCACATGAACTCCTCCATGGATGTTCCCTCGGCAGAGAAGTGCTACAAGGTGGACAGAATAATCAGACACGAGGGCTTTGTGTATGAGCAGGATAGCACGGACATCAGCAATGACATCGCCTTGGTGCATTTGACCGAGCCTGTAAATATGACGAAGGAGATCAGCCCCATCTGTCTGCCGAAAGCCGGGGCTGTGATGCCAGCGGGGACTAAGTGCTTCGTTACAGGATGGGGAGACGAGAAAGGTAGGAATTGCCTTAAATCATGAGATTGATTAACTTTGATTATGAACTTTTAGTCAACAGATTTATATTTTAAGAGCAATAATTATGTTAGATACTGTTACAGTTTTCTTTGCCACTGGGTGGAGCTGTATGGAGAGGAAAGCACTAGCCTAACTTTTGGGGATTATAAACTCACCTGGTGAAGTCATCTTCACAAGGTGTGTCCAATCTGCACAATTTAATTCACTGTGCAGACTGGATTCACGTGGTTCAGCGGCTGGGCAGAACAAAGGCTATGTTCACACTGCAGGCTGAAGTGACCTAAAGCCGATTTTTTGGCCCAAATGCAACCTGGATCTGATCTTTTCATGGCAGTCTGAACAGCCACTCTGAATCCGATGCAAATCTGATCTTTCCAAATGCGACCTGTGTCTGAACGGCTAGGTCGCATTCATCCGACGTGAACGCCATTAATACCTGACAAAGGTCACTATTCTGGGTCTTGCTATGAAGAAACGACAAGAAATGTCATGTTGGGGTCTAATCTTCTAACCCACATGCAGAAACACTCAAGAGACAGGAAAAATAGTTAAAAGGTTTATTGACAATATTTTCAGAAAAATGTGAACGGCGTCTTGGTTCGTCAGGCTGGTCACGGGAGGGAAGCAACTAGAGGAGGACAGATCGGTTAGAGTGGATCCAGGAAACTTGCTGTTTAATGGCGGTCTGGGTTAATACCTGTTCATGGGGTATTCTGATCGGCAGGCAGAGGGCTGAAGGCAGAGGCAGAGACGGAGGCTAAGGCGGAGGGCAGACAGGCAGGTTCCAGGCAACAAGAGTTTTCTCCAGGAGTTGACTGATCACCAGATATGTCAGGATCTGAGAGGCAGAAGAACACAGAGTCATAGAGGTTCTCAAAAAAAAATCAGGAAGACAGATCAGATTTAGCTGGCTCAAGGTTTGCTGGTACCATTACTGGCAAACACTCTGGCAGAGAAGTGTTAGCCTCCTCCTCCTTAAAAAGCCTCCAGATGAGCAGATGGGAAACAGGTGTGCAGAAGTCAGCTCACACCCTCAGGAGGAAGATCTCAGGCTCCCTCTGGTGGAGAAAGGTTGACAAGCCTCTGGATCCCAACAAGAAAACAACAACCATGGCAGACATTGATGTAGAGAGCCGTATTTATGTTTAACCAACTTGAAAAGATTGTGTTTTTATGGATGGGAAAGATCGCTAGATGCGCTCTACCATCGAGGTTTACTTCCGTAAACACAGTGCTCCACTACGCATGCGGGACACTTTTGTTGTATGACTACAGTTCACACAGGAGATCACATACAAGTCGCATATATTTGGAAACGTGAATGACAATGCAAAAAAATCATATTTCACAAAAAAATCGGAATTGAGCATCAAGGCCTGCATTGTGAACGTAGCCAAATATATGGCATAGAGATGACTTGATGAATCCCCGTCTCCCACCTGTGGTCGTTGGAGAATAATGCATTGACTCAACTTTTACTGTCATATAGCCGCTTTGGAAAAATCACAACTCGTTAATGCCCTAATGTGAGTGCTATGTTTTGAAGAAGGGGTTGAAACATGTCAGGTAACAATCTGCTGAAAGTTTGAGGGGTTGTGATGTCCCCTAATAACATTTGCTAGAAACAAGTCTTGAGGTTTTTCTATGCTGGAAAAGGAGGTTTTTCAGTGCTTCATTATGAAATAAGACTAGAGTATTTAATCTTTTAACTTAAAATGTGTTTTACCCAGGTAACCTGTTTCCTGTTGTGGCTAAAAAGCTGAACCAGGCAGCACTTCCTGTTATTGACTTCCAGACCTGCAGCAAACCTGAATACTGGTTGGACTCGGTCAGACCCTCCATGATCTGCGCTGGCTACGAGTCCCCCGATGAGCTCAAATCAGCCTGCCAGGTACCAGACACTCTGAAAATAAGCAGAGAAAAGTTCTTCCAAATAAAGCTTTTATTTTGAAGACCTCATATAAGTGGGTTAGCATAACATAGCTGGTTGTCTTTTTCTGAAACAATCAGTCAACTGTTTTGTTTGCGGCCATTCAGCCTTTATTAGAGCTGCCTGCTGCCCTGATCACAACCAGAACTGGACAAAAGCACATTTGGCCACTATTTGTTTGCCATAATGAGCAACCATGCAAACAGGGCCGTGTTGTAATTAGAGCTCCAGACCTGTAAAAACTGGTTTGTAGAACTCTGGCAGGGATGTTTTGCTAAGGATTATTTCCTCAAGTTATTAATTTACTATTGACCTTGAAGCTCCTTCCTGATTTATTTGTCTGTTCTGCTCTCCTGCAGGGAGACTCAGGCGGTCCATTTTCCTGCTCAGTCGCTGGGACCTGGGAGGTGCATGGCGTGGTCAGCTTTGGTCCTCAAGGCTGCATCAGAGACAAAAAACCCTCAGTGTTCACACGAGTGTCTGCCTTCAATGACTGGATCCACGACAACATCAGGAAGTTTGCATATGAAAACCAAAAGGCGATATAAAAGATCAGGATTTAATGCTTTTAGATTTATTTTTTAAGATTATGGAATTTTAATCTGGATGTTTTAATGGGATTGAAAACTCCGCAATTAGGTAATAATAAAACTATCAGTATTATGGTCTGTAATGCTTTGGTCAACAAGTTATCAAAGTATTGAATTTAATAGAAAAACATTAGGTTGAACATCTCTGCCAATATGAGTATATATTTGTTTTTCCTCTTTCTCTTCAGTTGTGATGCTCAAAATTGTCCTAGATTTTGTAGGGCAACTGTAAACCTGGCAAGTCAGACTGATTTACAGTGAAAACACAGCACATCACTCCAGGGGTCAAGGGAAAATGGTCAGAACCAGTCAGATAACTACAAATGTGACAAAAAAAAAAACATCTTTTTAAAAAGAAAAGCTCTAAATCAGCCAACTTTTCAAGTTTCAAAGATACATTGCACTCATCTGTGACATAATAAAAAGCTTAATTCAAACATTGCTCTGTTCTAGCCACATTCTTGACTGATATGGTTACAGGAAAGTGCTGTTGCATCATGGGTAAAGCTGGCTCAGGTGTAAACTCCCACCTCCTGTGCTGTGATTGGTCCAATGTGTTTTAGACCTTGTTTCTGACCCTTAGCAGCTGTCAGTCAGTCAGTTTGGCCAGGCTAGGAAAATTCAATGTATGTAGAAGAACTTTTTAATTAAAACATGGATCCCATGATTGACGTGTTCAAGTAAAACCAGTGGATCAAATCCAGCGGACACCAGTTTCCTTCTGTTAGATTTATCATGAGGCTGGAAACTTACCTGATAAACATGAGACTTAAGAACTACTGAGTGATCAATGACCTAAAAAGTGAGTTATTGGCTGCTATGGTGGTTAGAGACAGGGCTGAGAAAAAGAGGCAAACAAGAACTTAAACCTCAAGCAAACTTCTCCTTCATGAGTGGATGAACCGTCGGCATTGTAACAGATATGAAAAGTTAAAGGGAACATCTGGTTCTGAATCACAGAACTGAGACATGATACTGTGGTTTGGGGTTTGGGAGTGCAAACTCAGACCTCCACAATGTTTAGTAGTAGACCATCAGGGGTACACTGTGTTTCAGCAAATGAATACATCTGGGTGTTTGATTTGGGCGTAAGGAATTCCACCTGTTGGTACAGAACTGGGATCTGAATATTTCATTGGTCAGAATTTAGAAAATGTGGGTGATGTTTCCACTGGCTGGCTAACAAGCACCAAACAGAACTGGGTTTGTTCAACCCTCCTCACACTTTCTGGCTGTAACTAACACTAATAGATGATGGTGGTGGAAAGGAGACCGTCCACCTCAAAGGTCTGCATCAAATGGAAAAAATATCAGTGGAAATATGTTTTGTATCAATGAGCTTCCTTTAAAGTGTGTAGTTTGAGATGTATTTGTGTTTTCCTGTCATTAACAACTTGCTGAATAAAATCATTCCAAATCTAAAAGATGAATCATTTATGTCAACATAGACAAATTTTCCATGTCGTACTGTTTGGATGAGTTTTTCCACTGCTGTTGAGTTAATGAGTAGTTTTGACATTTAGAACTTATTTCCCCTAAGATCGCCCTCCCATCCCTCCCAGCCACCAGCTTCTATCTTCCCAGCCCCATTTCCTCACAGAGGGAGTCTGCAGGACATGTTCATGTTTGGGACTTTATCCCTCAGGTCACGTGAGCCGGCCAGTGGGCCAATAGGAGAGCATGGCTCGGGTTTCAGCATGGGAGAGCAGAGAGGAAGGAAGAGGAACTAATCTGTGCTTCATGAGCTGGACAGAAATCTGCCGGCATCAACAGCATTCCTGAAAACTGGATTTTCCTTTTGCTTTTAAAGGACTGAAATGTTGAGGATTAAGGAAGGTCCTGCCAGTGGCAGGGGTCTGGGGTTTTTCCTCTAATGGAGGGAGAAGAGGAGGAGGAGCTGCAGTGTTTCCCTCATTTAAAGTCTCTGTTGGAGTTACCTTGGAGGAAGAATGGGTGCAGGAGCCATGACCATCTGTGTGAGTAAAGCATGCTGGAGACTTTCCTGATAACTTCTAACGGGAAAATGGAAATAGCTGCTCTGAGAGGCAGCGTAAGAGATTTTGTCAAAAGAAAACTGCCATACAATGTTTCCTGATATGAAAACAACTTTCTGGTTATGTTTGTCCATCTCTTGTCTTAAGCACAGAGACATTGCTTCACTTCTCACCAACTCTTTGGTTTCCAGCTCATCCCTCCATGATGTCAGTTTCCTTAATGCTCCTGTTTCCTCATGGCTTTTTTTCCCCCTGCCTGTTGTGTCTTGAACTACATTTCTCAGTTTCTCTGAGCCCAACAGCTGCTGATGCCAGCGGACCCTTTGCTTCCAGTTTCTTCCATGGCCACCCACATACTAGAGGGAGACTGGAAAAGAGGAGGCTGCAGGGGGAGGGGCTGCAGGGGGAGGGGCTGGGAGCAACACATGCTGGGGCTTGTTTTCAGTCCCCTTCATGCAGAAAACTTGGCCAGAGGAGCAAGATTCCACTTCCTAGTCACTTCTCAAACTTAAAAAAATATATAATAAAGATTTAATTTTCATTAGAACAGGCATTATTTCAATAAGACCACTGTTTATAAAAACAATTCTGTTCTTTTTTACCCCTTTATATAGGAAGTAGTTCCAGAACAGACAACTAACAAGAAAGAAAAAAGAGGAAAAGAGGCTGTGCATCAGCCTGCTCTCTGCTGCTAGTCTGAGATCTTTCAGATCTCTAGCAAACACAGGAAATGAGGTAGAAATACAAAAATGAAATAACATAAACAGGGTTACAATAGTTATATTCAAATAACTGAAATCTATCCTGAAAGGTTTTACAAACTCTCTCCTGTCTAATATATCCTGCTAAAGTCTAAAAACATATATCAGCTTTCACATGACATGAATAACTATATCGACCTTTTCTTTTTTTTAGATATATAAAAAGAAATGTTGTTTCACTAAATAAAAGCTAAATGCACTGTATACAATGGGTAAAGGTCTCAGATTTATTTATATTGTACGTGACAAAAACGGAAACTAAAATATTTGTTACCATAAGTGTGGCCAATAAACTCGTCCCTGTTTTCTGTTTTCAGTTATTGAATGAGCAGTAATAACAAAGTATTTAACCACAGTGTTCCATTCACAGGCGTAACTTTCTGAAGGACTGGTGAGGACATGTCCCCACCAATAATTTCTGCTTTTTCCCACTTTCACTGGAAAAAATGGAAATCTAGTTAAGTTATTTTTGCCTAAAATACGTGCATTTGTTCTTGGATTGAGGAGGTAAAAGAGATATTTTGCCAATGGAACAAGACAATTTACATTTAGAATAAGAAAACACAATTGCATTGTCTTATTTCAAGTGCATTTTATCTAAATATCTTCTTTTAAGAGTAAAAACACTCATTCCATTGGCAAAGCATTTAATTTACCCACTCAAATTAAGAGTAAACACACTTAATTTAAGAAATGTTTACTTATTTCTAGATCGTTTTTACAATTCCCCCCTAGCCAAATGTAGCAGAGTTTGGTTCAGCTATCTGTGTTTTTTTTTTTTCTCTCTCCCACTGCTCCCCCTATCCCGCCTCTCCGTGTAACATCATCGGATCTGTCGTTTTGAGACATCTTCTTTGCAGTTGCATGTCACTGATGTACAAAGTAGCTGCGTGGTTGGAGGAGAGACTCACAGCAGCACTCAGTGAATATTAACCAGCAGCTACTTCGATGTTTAAGTAAAAGTTAGGAGACGGGTTGGGTAAAAAATTAGAGATCATACTACTGAAAAATCAGTTTGACATACAGAGCTTTTTCAGCTAAAAATGGCAACAAATTGTAAGTTTATACAAGTTAGTATTATAATGGAAGAAGCTTGAGAAAACATGGTTGGTTCGTCTTTACTAGTTAAAAAAGCTTGGCTCCTCGTAGGACCATGACTGACAGTTACAGGTTAAAAATAACATGTTCTCATTGTACAGACAGAATCAGACTACAGAGCTTCTACATATCTGTTCTACATAAATGTTCTTTCTGGCATCATCGTATTAGTAAACAGGTTCATAAATCTTTTTAAACAGAGCACAGAGAGAAGTGGGGAGGCTGCAGATTTAAAGGGGAAACAAATTTACTGGGATATGCAACACAAAATAAAATACATATCCAAGTTTACCAGAAAGTTTACAAGAAAAATATATGCTATGCTATATTTAAAAAGCAGCATATCAATATTTTTCTAGATGGATGGAAACTGTACTTCAAGGGATGCATTATATATCGATTTTGGTATCAGAATGGGCTGTTATTCATTATTTTTTTTATACATTAATGTTTGGGGGCCCTATATATGTATTGCACTAAAAATAAATCTCTTTAACTACACTGGAAAAAATCTAAATCTAGATAAGTCATTTTTTCTTAAAATAAGTACATTTGTCCTTGAATTGAGGAGGTAAAAGAGACATTTTGCCAATGGAACAAAATAATTTACACTTAAAATAAGAAAACACAATTGCATTGTCTTATTTCCAGCGCATTTTATCTAATTATCTTATTTTAAGAGTAAATCTACTCATTCCATTGGCAAAATATCTCATTTACTGACTCAAATTAAGGATAAATACACTTAGTTTAAGAAATTTTTACTTATTTCTACATCATTTTTCCAGTGTATCTATAAATATAAATATGTGTATTAAAGTTCTGTTGTGTTCTCAACAATAGGAAAGCAGTCAATAAATATATGTTTGAGCTCATTTTTTGAAAATACGAAAACCTACTTAATAAAATGGTTCCGGTGGAGCATCTGTAGGTCCATCGGCCCCCACCCGAGTGGCCCCACCAACTTTAATCACAAAGTTACACTCTTGGTTCCATTGGATCCTTCTGCACTGTTTGATGTCAGTAAAAGCAAACATGTTTTTTAAGAACAACTTTATATCCTCAAATTTGGAACAAGGCTGTGCGCCCTTTGCCACGCAGCGAGTATAAATCAAGCTTAAATCCTCTAGAAACTCTGCTAAACACATAGTTACCTTTTTCAAGCTCTTTCATATGCTTATAAGAAAACAAATGCTTATTTGATATAAGTGGGAAACATTAGTGAATATAAAGAGTCTCTTTCCATCTGGGAAGTTGGTTTCAATCAGGATGAGACTCAAATGTAGCTTGAAAACATCCTAGTTCAGTCGTTACATTGTGTATCATTTCACCTATTTGAGCGGCTGCACCATAGACTCACATGTGACATAATGGAGTGGTTGCCATGGGAACAGCACTGAGACTCCTTTCTACTCTGCAGGATCCAGAACAGCAGGAAGTCTTAACTGATACCAGGAGTGAATAAACAAAACAGATAAACAATGCAGGGATAAATGAGCTGTAAGTAACACAGATCATTAGGAGAGGATAGTTTAACTTCGATATGATCATTTTAAATTAGACTGGACATAAGATGTTGGTTTATGAATCCAAGACCTTCAATTTTCACCCATGCAATATATAGGTGTCTCTCTCTTTAAGGAAGATGTATATTGGTTAACAGCAACACACTGGTTCCTTCTTTTCCACTTCCCTTCAGCTCACAGCCCACTCTGTCCTCATATAGATGACGGCCTGTGGCTGCATTTCCTGCAGCACAGACCTGGCGCTGCTTCATGGGGCCTCTGTCACTGTATGGCTGATGTCTGCTCTCCTCCCTCCAACAGCACAACCAGGCTGCAGTGTTGGTCAAAGAAGACATGAAGAAGATTGCCCAGATATCCATGCTGAGATCCAGATCTGTGGCAGCTAGAAACAGCCAGATATTTGGAGTGCCCCTGTTGGAGCTGAGGGAGCAGGGCCTGTTGGAGGATGGAGTGCCTCTGGTGGTAAAGAGGATGGTGGAGCATCTCAGGCGCCACGGTAAGCGTACATTTTATAAGGAATTTTTACTTTTAATTGCTTAGAAGAACGTCTAGATCGTCGTTACAATTTAGTAGCCTAAGTTTGTCCAGTTACATTAACAATCCATTAACAATTCATTAGTTTGCTGTATTTTCCATATATTTCAACATTTTTAGGTCTGCTTTATTCACCTAAAAGAATATGTAAATTTTATCATTAACATATCACAAATCAAAAAAGCCAAAAATAAAAATGTAATTTTTCCTCCTCAATCTTATTAAACATTTTCTCTGAAATGTTGAATCAAATAATAAATAGAAGAAGCAAAAAAGTAAATAAATAAAACAATATCTACTTCCAGCCCCTTACTTTAGTCTTTTAAATGTATAACATATATGTCTCTCAGGTATCTGCTTGTTTAAAACGTTGTATTAAGAAATAAACAAAAACAAAAAAAAAACTTTTTCCCTCATGTTTTGTTTGTGATGGTTCCTACATACTGCAGTGACTCGGTTTACCACTAGATGTCACAGGAAGCTTATATGACAGGTTACAAGCATGCACATGATTTGATTTTATCCACTAGCCAGTGTTGTAGTACTCGAGATCGGTCTTGGTCTTGAGACCATTTTTTGATGGTCTTGGTCTTGTCTCAGTCTCGGTCTCGGGCGCTGAGGACTTGGCATTTTATTTCCAGACCGGTCAAGACCACAACTGTGGAAATAACTTTAATCATCAGAATATTATCAGTTTCTTTAAGATCCTTCTTTTTATTGGATGCTTGGATTCAAATCCAAGCAATAACCT